ATGCTTCCCTATAGCTTTTCAGTTTGCAACACAGCCAAACTTGTGGGGTAGGAGGAACTGTGTGTGTGTGTGTGTGTGTGTGTGTGTGTGTGTGTGTGTGTGTGTGTGTGTATGTTTTCCGTGTGCTAGCACTGCTGCAGCAGCAGATTTGGGTCTAGGCAGTGCTAATGGCCATTGGGCTTGGGCAGAAGGTGTAATCACACTCCAGGCCCAAGGTGGAGGCACTGCGGGGTGATGGGAGACTTCTGTTGCTCAGATTCTCTGCTTGGTAGATGAGACTTCCTTCGTGAAGCCCCAGTAAACACATTTCCTCTTCAAGATCTTACCGTCTTTAGTGTGAGTGTGAAACCCACAGCTGTCTCTGCATTTCAGCCAACCAGAGGAGTGTTTTTTGTTCTTCTTGGCATAAAGCTGAAACTACTGACTTTCCCTGTGTGTGCTGTAGTCATTCTTTCTCAAACAAATGACCCAGTTCCCTCAGAATGGATGGGTGATTTGGACTCATTGCCTCTGAGATGCAGTCTGTGTGTGCTTGGCTGGAATGTCTGGCTGTGAGAGCATGGGGGGAGGAAGCAGAATGAGACTAGAAGGGTCAGAGAACCAGTCACATCCTACAAAGGCACACCCTGGTGACCTACCTCTCCACAAGACCCACAGCACCAAGCTTCCAGAACTTCCCAAGATTACCACCAACTGTTGGCTAAGTGTTCGATACCTGAGCCTGCAGAGAACATTTCTATTCAGATCAGGACACACACATTTATGCAAAGTGGTGGACATTGCACAACTGCCATGCCTAGAGACCCCAGTGTTCTCCTTAACTGACACAGTGGTGTAGAACCTTTAATCTAGGGTCTCAAGGGGCCCTTTTGTCAAGTCCCAGGTCCCAAATGTCTCAGCCTCCAGCAGTGGCTGACCTACCTGCAAGTTGGACTGTCCCCAGGGGAAAATTATAGGCTCACAGCTGGGGGCCCTTCAGTGCTGTTCCTTGGTGCCTTCCCTTTACTCCAGCTTTTCTTTCTTAGTCCATGTCATCCCAGCTTGGCCCTTGGCTTCTCTGACTTAGTTTCTGGGTCCCAGGCGGAAATCACCAAATACTGGAGGCTGTACTCATTCATTTCCTGAATGTTCTCAACCCTTGCCAGAAAGCTTTCCTCTCTTCCAGCAGCTTAGAGGAACTGCCTGGGAGGCCAGCCTGTTCTAACAGATTCTACTGGGGACTCCTCTGGAGGGGGCTCACTGGAGTAACTGGGTTCAGAGGCATGTGCAGAGAGGGGTGGAGGATGGCTGGACCACTCTGAGCTTCAGTTCCCTCCAGGGTAAAGGAAGATTGGCTGTTTCTCCCAGTATGAGTGAGGTTAGAGTAGGTGAAGGAGTGGATGGGGTCCAGTGAGTTCCAGTTGTCTGCTGTCTCTCTACTCTAGGTGAGGGATGCTCCCGTAGGACCTCAGCATGTCCTCAACTCCAGCTCTCCATCTTCTCCCTTCTCCTTTGTTAAAGCTTTACTATAAAATGTCTAGATGTTTTTCTTTTACTTTTTCAAGAGTTTCTGCTACTGCCACAGGGAAGGGCCCTGAACCCCAAACTAGGGCTTGAAGTAGTTTCCTTCAGGGAGAATGTTCTTACATGTTGGAGATGAGTGTTCTGAGGGTGGTATCCAAGGAGTGTTCTGAGCCAGGCAGACTTCCATGGACTCCTAACATCACTGTTCATTTTTGGGAGCATTTGGACAGATGTTCCCAAGCAGGGGGCTTACCAGCAGACTTAAGAGAACCTGGGGACTACTCACTGTTGTAATTTAAAAAGTGGTGCATGAGAGAAAGATGCCATGCAACAGAGCTCACATAGAGGGTTTTTTGTTTGTTTGTTTGTTTGTTTTAAATAGTGCAAAGGGAATGGGAAAAGTGGGGAGAGAAGGGAGAAACTGGCCTCTGGGGATAGGAGCAGCAGAAGAGAAGGGGGATAGAGAGACAGGCAGGGAAGCAGAGAGCGTGAGAGAAAGAGATGGGAGGTGAGCAGGGCCCTTTTAAAGGGGAACATACAAATGTGCACAGGGGGTTGCTTAGTGGTGGCAGCTGAGGACCCCAAGGGCAGGCCAGTACAGATGCCTGGTTACTAACACTCACCCTGCCCTGGTAGGTAATGATGCAGGAGGCATTAGCAGGGTCACAGGGACAGTGTGAGAAGACCTGTGTACCCTGACACTCTGTTTTATAAAATGCAACATCTTAAGTTTAATGGGATAAGGGGGACCTAGAAATGTCTTACCCATTCCAACTCATGCTTGATACCCTCACTTGATGGCAAGAACTGTCCCTATTATAAGACACTTTACAGTGGCTGGTGACTTCAGGATGACCTCTCCCAAGCCTTGCTGTGAAGTTCGTTCTTGATGTCTGGGTGTCAGGTCACCTGCTGAAGAAGAGGGGTGCTCAGGGCCTTTACCATGCACCCCATCACCACCTCCAAAGTCCACCCTCCTGACATTGCAGATGTCACTTCCTTTTCTTAATATGAGTGTATGGATCATCCCGTCCCCAGGGGAGGGTGACCTTTGGAGGCCTATTACATTCTAGGGCATAGGGAGGCCCAGCTCACAGAGTAGAAGAGACAATGGTGGGTGTGCTTTAGTCTTTAAAGCAATTCAGGAAATGTTAGCCTGTTCTTCCTGGCACTCACAGAGTGACCAATGAGAACAAAGCACTACAGGAACCCCTTGGCTGCCTCTTCGCCTCTCTTTCCAATAACAGTGTGCAGTATTGATGTTAATGTCATCCCCATTAGAGACCCTGGCTTTGAAGGTTAAGTGATTCACCAGCCATGAGTCACCCTCTAAGTGGTAGGGTGAGGTTTAAATACCACCACACCACAGAGCCCAGGCACTCAGCACCCCTCACCCTGCCTGGGATGAGGGATAGAGCCTGCCTCATCAGTCAGGGAACTAGAGAAAGAAAGAAGGCAAGGAGAAGCAGGCAGCAGCTGGTTCTCATGCTGGTTACACATCCCCAACCCAGTACACGCTTGATGGGGATAGGGAGTGAGCAGTGCTGCTGGATCCCAAGGCCACATGAGTTGAGTGACTACTGCTCAGAATCCAGGGCACACAACAGCTGCGTGTGCAGAGCAAGGCATTTCTCAGTTTGCTGCAGAGAAAGCCATACCCCGCAGTCTCTTCCCAGAGGAACACATTAACAACAACCCCTGAATAGGACCAGGTCTCCTGTCCTCATCCCCGCTCCAGCCCCGTGTCCTATTGGGAGGCTTGTAGTCTTGGGCATTTGCCTTCTAAATCTAAACCATTTAGGCAACAATTTGGTTTATGCCATTTTTTTTTCCGCTTTACCCACTAGTCATCTATGACCATTGTCCCTTCAGACTTCTCTTTCTTAGGGCCTGGGGACAAAGGCACCCAAGAAAGCACTCACTGCATAGGAATGAGAATCTGACTTTGATCCTTAGAATCCTTAGAAGCCAGGTGTGGTACATACTTGCAATCCCAGTGTTGGGGAGGCAGAGGCCAGCGGCAGGTTGTGGGCCTTGCTGGCCAGCTAGCCTAGCCTAAGCTGTGAGCCCCAGTTTCCAGTGAGGGTGGATGACGCCTGCCGAGGAATAGTCAAGGTTGACCTCTGACCTCCACATGCACATGTACACATGTGTGCACCTACATAGGCTCATCTGTAGCCTGCTTACCTGTGGAATGCCCCGTCTCCGTAGACCTCCTAAACTCTGTGTTTCTGTCCATACTGGCTGATTCTTTCCTGTTCCCTTTTCTTTTTACGATGGCTTCACTGCTTTCTAGAGTTTTCTCCCACCTGAGCCGAGGCTGCTGTCAGGGCCAGTGTCAGTGAGCTGTACTGCCACAGTGCTCAGTTTTAGTATGTGCTGGGGCGTATCTTAGTTCCTTCCTCACCATCATCCCCTCCTCTGTCTGGGTGCTCCCCAATCTGGATTAAGCTTCTTAAACTCTGTAGCCATTATGAGAACCCAGGTGTGTAGGTATGTCAAATAGGTTTTATTTAACACCATTCTTGTACGTATATAATTTTACCACTTATTAAAGATGGCAGCAAAGTGCATACTAACGAGATGGATGTGCTTGCTGCCTTAATTCAACCTGAGTATGTACTGATTTGATCCTTACATAATGTGCAATGATAGTACAACAGTTTGTAGTCTGGTTTCCCTAATTTAGCCATGATGCTTCCATGAGAGTAGAAACTTTGGATGTACCATTAAAACACTGCAGTTCCTAACTGTCATCCCAGTTTTCTTTGTATAGTTGTGATAAACACCATGGCCAAAAGCAACTTGAAGGAGAGGGTTCCTTTGATTTACACTTCCACATCATAGTCCATCACAGAAAGAAGCCAGGGCAGGAACCTGGAAGCAGGAACTGAAGCAGAGGCCTTGGAGGAATGCTTCTTATTGACTTGCTCCTCCTGGCTTGTTCAGTTACCTTTTACATATGACCCAGGCCTACCTACCTGGGGATGGCACCTCCCACTGTGGGCTGGGTCTTCCCATATCATTAAGAAAATGCCCCACAGACATGCTGGCAGGCCAGTCTGTTAGCAGTAATTCTTCAACCAGCTTTCCTCTTCCTGAATGACTCTATCTTGTGTCAAGTTGACAAAAAAAAGTAACTAGGACAGTAACATACAGCAGTCTTGGCTGTGCACGGAGGTGCTTCAGGGCGTTGCGTGGTGGTGAGTGTTCACTGTGCAATCAGAACCCTGGGCAGTTCTACATGGATGAACACTTCCAGAAAACCTTGCATTTGTTACCCATTTGAGTTTGAGATTTTGGTCATTGCATATTCAGAAACCTTTTACTGTCAAAAGTTCTTGATGCCCATATTCAGTTGGTATGTGATGCTGAGACTCACAGGGCAGGAAGCTTTGACTTGGGTGACAACTTAAGATCGCTGAGTCGGTGGGGATGGGGAAGGGAGTGCAGGCCCAGGGCTTCATTCATTTGGAACTTTCTGCTTTGCTTCCCAGGTACACAGATAAGCTGCTTCTCCCCAAGTTCTTTCTCCTGGCGACAGGCTGCCTTTGTGGATTCATACTGCTGGGCTGCTGTGCAGCAGAAGAGCTCCCTGCAAAACGAGTCTGGAAACCTCCCACTGTGGCTGCACAAGGTAAGGAGATATGGGATACAGACACACCTGCTGTACTTGCTTTACAGATATAGAAGTGGAGGCCTGGAGAGGCTGTCCTGTCCCCCTCCCCCACAACCATGCAAGGGGTGTGTGGTCAGCCACACTGGAGGAGCCTCAGCAGGGACTTCATCGGATGTCTCTGTGGAGCAGATGAGAAAACAGGTGCTCTTTGAATTTTAGCCTTTTAGTGACAGGCATGTGGTACATAGTTGTTTTCTTTGCATCCTTAATTCTCCTACAGAATGTCTCACATATGGTGGGCCCTCCGTACCTTTTGGACATCTGAATAAGCAGAACTGGGGTTGGAACGTTGTCTGGAGTCTTGTTTGTGACACATGGGTCACTTAGAAAAAGTAAAGAATAATATATAGTTGGGTTGCTTCTGGCCACTGTGTTGCTGGTGCACCCAGAAACCTGGCCACGAATCCTAGGTCCACAGCTCTTGATGGGTTTCTAGTGGGAACATGTTCTAAAAGGAAGGAGAGAAACCACCCAAGAGGCATTCTTAACCAGGCTGTTCAGACTAGAGAGAAGAGGTGCAGGGCAAGCCACCGTTGGGTGGGGGTATACAAAGAATGGAGAGTAAGGAACTGCAGCTGGAACCAGCAAGTGTGTGCAGAAGAACACTCTTACGTCTTCTCTCTGAGTGATGATGTGACGTCTCAGTCTTCTCTCTGAGTGATGATATGACGTCTCAGTCTTCTCTGAGTGATGATGTGACACCTCAGGTCTTTTCCGTGATGATGGACACTTGAGTCTTCCTTGCACATACAAAAGCAGGGTTCTGCTTTAGCCTTTCCTTCACCCTTCTTTGCCCTTCATAAAAAACAAGTAGAACATTTGTATCTTCTGGAGCTCACATGAACTGTGGAAAACATAGTAGTCAGCTCTGCAGGGCCAGTGCTGACCACAGATCCTCTGCTGCTCTAACTCCTCTGGACAGCCAGGCAGCATTCTTCTCTTGAAAAGCTCTTTCTGCATGCTCTGACTCATGCTGCCTCCAACCCTGTCTTCCCCCGCACCTGTTTAGTGAGCATTTGGCATGGAGGTCACTGGGTTGGGCTTTTCCCTTTGATTTGCAGCCTACATACTCGGTGGGTCCTTGTCAGCTTTGCATGATTTACTGGTCAGTATACCATGTTATAAGGGCTCTCAGCACAAGTGGACACACTGCAGGGGATCAGAACCTTTGTTTGTAAGTCTCAGTCCATGCCGCTATATTTTAAGTCCATGTTAAAATGTCACCGTGAAGTGCCAAGTTGTACAGTCTCTGGGTTGGCATTGGCTGAACCTCAGATTGTAGCTGGGATTGCATAATGTAAGAGTTGGCAGGGATGACAGCTACTGTGGGCCTGCTGGAGAGAAAAAAAGGCAGATGCTTTTCACTAAAAAAGCTAAGGGAACCTTGAGAAATGAGGCCCAGGGCCATAGATTAGTCTGGGACTGTACAAACAGAACCCAGGTCTGCAAACTCCCAGCTCCTCATGTTCCAGTCAAGGAAGTGGTGTGGGTGGCTCCCTGTGTGATGAGCTCCCCATGCTCTCTTCTGGTGCTGAGAGATGGCATGTTCACTTGGATACATGGTTCTGAGCTTGCCAGGTTCACAGGACTCAGGACAGGTTGAGGTTGAGACCTGCCTGGCTAACACTCAGGCTTGGTTGGGCCTTTCCTTGGGAAAGGGGGCTCCTCCCCGGGGTTAGAGTCCTGGTCTGAATCACTTCAGTGCCAGGGGAGTGAGTTGGCTTAGACATTGACAGTGTCTCTAGGTTACCTGCCTGCCAGAAGTGAGGCTGAGTTCTCCCTGGAGGAAGGGGACATTGTCCAGAGCCTCAAATGTGATCTGTCCTTCTCGTGCTGGGTATCTGGCATTCAGCAGACACACCATAAATGCAGGGAAACTCGGAGAAAAGTCACAAACAGAAACAGGCCTATAGGAGGGCCTGCTCAGACCCGTCAGTGCTTATTAGCAATGGACTCAGAGAATGTGATATATGGAGGATGTCACAGGGGACTAGAATATTCAAATGGAGCTTTTCAAGCTGCAGACAGTGACACAGAGTTCCTTTTAGCTGGTGCTGATCGAGGGCCCTCCTTATGTTGGATGTGTGCTTGGCAGCCATGGGCCACAGATGGCGTGTCGGATTCTCCAAGTTCACTGGTGGTGAAATGAACATGCAGGAGAATAATTAGAAAGAGAGACAGAAAAGGGAAAGTGTGGTTTCCCCATAAACCAAGGGACAGGCTTGCAGACCAGGCTGTGAGCTCTTTAAATCCCTCTGCTGCAGGCTGAGCCAATCCTACTGCATTGTTAATCCTTGAGGCTCCTGCTCCAGGCAGCAGGGAGTTAAATGTGGCAGCCAGGTTGTCCAGGGTGAAGAGTGAGTGTGTGAGGAAGAAATGATGATGATGCTTAAAAACAAACAAACAAAACAACTGGCCTTTTTCTTAGAGAATATGCTTTCCTTGTGGGCAGAGGTAACGAGCTGGGTGGGAATGGTGTGTGAGGGTGGGGGAGGCTTCACGTCCAGGAAGACTGCATATGTGAGAGCGCCTAGAAGGAGGTGGAATTGAGGCTGGAGAAGAGGCAGAGATACTGAACCAGCAAACACTGAGGCCCTGCCTGCGGCAGGGGTTCTCAACCAGAGGGTTGCCACCCCAGGATGTCCTGCATGTCAGATACTTACATCACAGTAAATAACAGTAGCAAAATTACAGTTATGAAGTCGCAACGAAATAAATTTATGGTTGGGGTCACCACAACCTGAGGTACTAAAAGGTGATAGCATTAGGAAGGTTGAGAACCAACCTTCTCACCCCCCAACCCCCATAGCATGCCTGGTGATACAGGAAAAGGGACATCCCAGGTGTCTGAGGAGCTGGGGCCAAAGAAATGTGCTGATGGGACTATGCAGGCGGAGGGGAGGATCAGAGCCAGGGTGTGGTCCAGGATTGGCGAGGATGCAGGAAATCTGAGAAGAAGCAGATGGCGGTGCTCAGCTCTTACACACAGCTGCTCCATGGCCCTTGGGCCATGAGTAGAGAGAAGGTGCTCTTCACAGTGCGTTGGTGTCTATCAGGATTTGTGTGGAAGTTGGGAGACTGACCTCCTCTAGGGTGGGTGTAGATGGGATGGGGTCTCTTTCAGTTCCTTTCTGTTGCTGTGATAACTCTGACCAAAGCGGCATGGGGAGGGAAGAACTAATTGGCTTACACTTCCAGGTTATAATCAGCCACTGAAGGAGCTGAGGGTGGGAACTCAAGGAACCATGAAGGAGCACTGCTTGCTGCTGCCTTGCTCTCTGGCTCATGTTCAGGCTCTCGCTTAGCTAGCTTTCCTATACAACCTAGGACCGCCTGCCCAGGGAATGACATTGCCCACAATAGGCTGATCCCTTCTACATCGATTAGTAATCATAACTGTCCCCTCAAAATATGTCACCGGCCAATCTAACCCAGGCAGTTCCTCATTCGAGGATCCCCCATCAGATGTAGGCTGTGCCAGGCTGATGGTAAAAGCTAACTAGGACAGAAACTAAAAGGCATCTAGCATAAAGAGTTGAGGGCTTAAGAGGAACCCACAGAGGACAGAACTGGGGAGGAGAGACAACAGAAAGGAGTACTGTGGGAGTAAAGAGCAGGTTGTCCTCTAAATAGCAGCTTGTCAATATAGTAGCCTGTGCCAAGTGCTGCCAGGGGTATGCTGAGGACTGAGACCAAGATGAATTGTGTCCCCTAAAAGATTATGTTGCTGTATTAACCCTGAAATGACTTTACTTGAACAGATATGCTACAGATATGGTTAGTGACTTAGGAGACATCATCCTGGGGTGGGGTGGGTCCCACCTCCAGTTTGGCAGGTGTCCTCTCATAAAGAAAAAACTTGGACATTAGGCACGCATAGAGGGGAGATGTATGGGGACACTTGTGGGAAGGTGACCTGTAACCCAGGCCAAGGAGGGGCAAAAAGGACCTCCCCAGGGCCCTTGCCAGGAACACCTAGGTCTACAGACCTGCCAGAGAAGACTCACATTGTTGCGGCCATTCAGTGTGTGGGATTTGATTGTGATGGTCCTAGAATGAGAAGGACTTACAAATCAAGATCTTGGACTGAAGAGATGGACCAGTGGTTAAGAGTCTGTACTGCTCTTCGGGAGACCTCAGAGTGGTCCCCAGTTTGCATAGCAGGCAGCTCATGACTGCCTGAAGCTCCAGTTCCAGGGGATCAGACCCCATCTTTTGGCCTTTTTATAAGTAACCACATATACCTGGCATACACAGTCTCACACACTTAATTAAAAGTAAAATAACATCTATAAAAGAAATCAAAATTTTCTCTAACTGGTAAAGTAGCCCACGGCAGAGAACAAAGATGTGGTTTTTTTGAGTTGGGCACAGATAGGGCAATCATAACTCCTGTATTACCACCTTTAATGTTTTTCCATTTTCTACCTTTTAAAAATAAAATATACAAATGTAGTTAACATAAGCCGGGTAATGGTGGCACACACCTTTAATTGTAGCACTCAAGAGGCAGAGGCAGGTAGATCTCAGAATTTGAGGCCAGCCTGCTCTACAGAGTGAGTTCCAGGACAGCCAGGGCTGTTACACAGAGAAACCCTGTCTTGAAAAACCAAAAACCAAACCAAAACAAAACAAAAAAGAAAAAAAGTAAGGAGGGAAGGAGGAAGGGAGGTAGCAACCATAAAACTTGACAGTGGTACAATTTGCACCTTAAATAATAGTGCAGCAGTATGGTTTGATGTCGTTTTAAACAAGAAAAAATGGGGAAATTTTCAGGTTACAAAATCCCTTTGTCCAGAGCATCCTTTTTAAAATCACTTTTCCTAAGTGGCAAGTGTATTCGGTGACTACTGTTGTGGAACAGGCGAGGGAGAAGGTGGCTTGTATGTTCTGTGTAGGTTCTTCTGGCTTGCTCACAAGGACTAGAGTTTATTTCAACATGTCTCAATTCGATGCCA